TCTCCTCCTAACATAGTGAAGCTATAAATTAGTTAAAGAAAGCATTATTATTCTTGTAGGACCAAGGCTATAAAATTGTCTGACTAGCCAATTCCCTTTGCCAACTAAAAAGCACACACGGGAAATAAATACCATAAGAAGTTGAAGAACAGAAGTGTTTTTATTGGTGGAGAGAAGAAGAAGCTTCTGTTGATTTTCTGAGTTGTTTTAATTTCTGGGTTTTTTGTTTTTTTATCTCTGTGCAAATACAGAGTGGCAATTGAAGTTGTGGATCCCCTCCCCTGCAGGCGCAGAGTCACATGGAGCCCGAGAGGTCTCTTATGAGTCATTACTGTATCAAAGTCACAATGATGAGCATCCAAACTTCATTAATGTGAGGGTTGCCTCATTGTCTTGTTCCTCCTCTAGGTTTAATTGTAACAGCAGCAGAAACCAGAGAAAGCTTTTAAAACTCAATGCATGCCACGTAGTACAATACTTACCATGACCGCGAAGGTGACGCATTGTCTCTGCTTTAAGGGTCATAGGCATTTGCTAACGCAGGGAAGAAGACCCCCTAGTGGATTTCAATTTTGCTTTATGTTTTGCTTGTGACCAGTTACTAGCTACAATTATATGTATATCGTATTTGGAAACGAGAGAGCTGTTATTGGCACTCTATGAAAGTCGTTGACACTTAATTTAGTGTATGCATCAGTAATCAATATTGCAAGGTTAGGTTAGGTGGGTATGAATATTAAACAGTGAAAGCAATGTGATTTTGCCAATTATGTTGGTGTTCCAAGGGTCATTTGGTCAATTATTTGTACAATCAACACAGATGTGTAGAATGATATGCATACATATGGGATCAGTTAATGGTTGGACAAAAAAAAACATAGCCCCATTATCCATTATTTTTTACCAAAAACCATCGAATGTGAAATGTGAGTCTGGTCTTTAAACAATTGAAGCAGAGCCTGTTTCTGTGATGGGCGTTCTCTTGCTCAATCCACCATACAAAAGGAAATGGTCAGTTCTGGGGCCGGGTTTAATAGGACTCTATTTCTGAAGGAGGGATAATCAAATATAGAACTAGGGATGCAAAGGTAAATAATTTTAAGAGTTCATAGAACTCGTACTATTTCTACTGTTTAGTTTTTGTTTTTGGGTTTGATCCCCCATTTCATCAACAAAATACTCTTTACAACTTGAGTTACAAGCCCTTGCAGGATCCAAATTTTTTATTTGCGTTGTATTTTATGAATTTTTTGCTGTGTCCATCATACCATTATGTTACTAAAATATAAAATGAATTTCCTTCCATATTGTAACATATAATTTTTGTTGCTGTTATTTTTAGTGATTTTAATTCCAACTTACGTCTAAAATAACAACCATTTAGATTCTTATTCAACTAATTTTCTATTTATAGGAGAGTATAAACTCAAACTTCATTGACGATAATTGATAAAAATAGGTTTCCTTTGGGTTCTAGATTTTTGTTTTCTTTTTAGTGATAATATATAATTAGGTCGATTTATATTTATATTTAATTATTTTGTCTACATAAATTTCTAAATACTACTAATTAGGGGTGGACATCTCATCCGAATTATCCGCGTACCGTACTAACGGTTTAGTTAAATAATTATTTTTTAATCTTAATTATTCTAATTCGATCCGTACTGAGATGTTTGGTTTGGTTAAAGGAAACAATATTCCTAACCTGACAGAAACCCGTACCGATCCAATATTTATACTTATTCTATTATTTAAATACAAAACAAAAAACCAAAGATAAATACAATCAGCATTTTCTATCACTCCCTTATCACTGCTGTATCACTTCTTTATCACTATTGTATCACTGCTTTATCACCATTCTATCACTTCGTTATCACCCGATACTATAGCACTTTTTGGTCAGAGAGGAATTTATAAATTTCCTATGTTTTCCAGTTTCGACTTTTATCCATTTTTTTACTTGTAACTTTCCAACCGTTGATCCAAATTTTATGTTCTTTATATGGTTGGATTCAGCATGAAAAAACAAAGAACCCAACGTGGAACAAATTCAAAATCATTTACATAAATTTAGAGAATTTAGTAAAAATAACACTCAAATGTTCAAACAACAAACACAAGTGGCTCCCAGTACAACTTGAGTATATATTGAATGATATAGTCACTAAGTTATTTGATATCATACTTGGATGAATTAGACTATTGGATTTTTATAATTTACAATGATGATTTGGTGTATTTATTCAAAAACTTATGTCATGTGAAAGTATTATAAATTGAATTTTTATCAGTATGTTTTTATTACGGTACTGGCGGCGTACCAAACCAATTCGAATCGAATATTAAGTTAACAGATTCGAAGTCTACCGAAGTCTTTAGTTTGGTTAACGGAAGAGAAAATGGTCTATCGAAATCTTTGATTTGGTTAACGAAAGAGTTTTCTA